GGTGAAAATTTCATGTCATTAGCACCTCTAGTAATATATTTACTGAGAAAAATGGTGACGTGTTCAATACTTATTTTACCCGCTGTATTTATTTAATGATGGAGCTTGGTTATTAAGAGCTTTGTATGTTTAAAAATAAGATTTAAATTATATTGTGATTTTGACAGGAAGCCAATGATGAGAAGCTAAAACTGGAGAAATATGATCTGTCATCAGAACTCTGGCAGCAGCATTTTGAATCATCTGAAGAGTTGATCCACAGAGTTAAAGCTAACATCATCTCTTGTAGAAGTGACACAAAGCCTTAAAAGAAACTACAAACCTGAGTTGTACAGTTAAAATTAAAYGGTAGCAGATGAAATGAGGGACTGAACTCTCCCATAATTTTAACTTGAAGCTCAAAAACATTTTAAAGCTTTCAGGGTTTCCTTGTTTAGCATTCCCTCAATTAGAGACCATTAAAGTCTTGTCCTTCCAGTGTTGCTCCTCTTTCACAACATTCCTACACGTTCTCCGTCCGTTTCAGGTGGTGTACCTGACCGCCACCTTCCCRTACGTCATGCTGTTGGTGCTGCTGGTGCGTGGCGCCACGCTGCCCGGAGCAATGCAGGGCATCGTCTTCTACCTCAAACCGAACCACACCCGCCTGGCCGACCCACAGGTACAAAAACACAAACRCTCCTCATATGAGGCAGAAAGTTTTGTTTTTATTTAAAGCGTGTCGTAGGAGGGCACAAGTTCTTYGAGTTGCTCTTTCAGGTGGTATTGCAGCTCTTGTAGTCGATTTGAGGTGAGTGAGAGAAAACTCATAAACCTGAGTTCATAATCACAAGGTTTGAGTTTTGTGTCAGGATTTTGTGACTTCTCTTTAACCCCAAAGAGCAGAGAGATGCAGCTCATCTCTTCTTTTTTATCTCCTCTTTTTCTCTGCAGGTATGGATGGATGCAGGCACCCAGATATTTTTCTCTTATGGCATCTGCTTGGGGAGCCTCACAGCCTTGGGCAGTTACAACAAATACAACAATGACTGCTATAAGTGAGACTCTTTTTGTCAGACAGCCACACTGATGCAGCAGCTCCACTCCAAACACACACACACACACGCACACACACACTCCATGCCAAACTTTTTTTTTTCCCCACTGAAATATAAGATGTTAGCTCCCACCGGTCAGATGGCTTCCAGAAGGAATGGCAGGAATGGAAAGAGAAAACACGCTGATACAGCCACACCTCAAAGAAAATCTCTTGCTGCCATGTTTCCCACAGTCTCACCCCTCCAAGCAGTGCTTTACTCTTCACAACTCCCTGGATTTGACCAAAAAAAAAAAACAATTTTTAACACAACTGTTTTTGTTCAGTTCTCATATATTTGCTTGTTTTCCAGGGACTCCTTCCTGCTGTGCCTCCTGAACAGCAGCACCAGCTTCCTGGCCGGTTTTGCCATCTTCTCGGTGCTGGGCTTCATGGCTGAGGAACAGGGAGTGGATATCTCCACTGTGGCCCAATCAGGTGAAACAGGATGTTCAAACAGAAACAGAAATCAATCAAATATTGTGTCCTAAAGAAAGCAAACATTTTTATCTAACCAGTGATATCCATTAAAGCACAGCTGGTGATCCACTTTCATTTCAAATTTGACAAGTTCACCTTGCAGCTCAGCTTCAAAACAAACCGAGTCAACAATACTGCTCCAATCTGTCTTTTAATCTCATCCTTCATTTTTCCCTCAAGTGTTAACAGAACCCTGGTATAATTAAACTCCTCCACCTGAGGCAGCACCTCACCACCAACCTAGGGAAGATAGTCCCTCATTTTCCGATGGAGAACCATGGCCTCAGATCTGGAGGTGCTGATCTTTATCTCAGACGCCTCACACTCTGCAGAGAATTGCTCCAGTAACCCGTGTTTCCATCAACGTTTTTTTAATGCGTATTTTGAAGTATCGCATCAGAAAAGGTGAATGGAAAAGGCATGATTCGAAAAAACTTCCTCGAATACGCAAAAACGTTTATGTGCTCGCTTGAGGTGGTTTTTGGGTTTTTCTAAAAAGAGTAGATGTGCAAAAGGAGAGATGGAAACACATTTGCTGGACCCTCCTCCTGATGTCGGTGTCTTCCCAGTTATTCCCGCAACGTGAAGAGAGTTGCATTTTGTTTCTCTACGTCTCCAGACAGCATGTAACATCGCCAAAACTAGTTAATATGACAGAATAATTACAATTTTCCTGATAGTAGCAACACGTTCCTGGTAACTTCTCTCCGTTTTTCTGAGATCCCTGCAAGTTTGCCACTTCTACTTCCTGTTTACTATAGCCATGTGTCTGACGTAATTACACTTTCCGTAGCCTGGTTGATTCAGTTCAAGCCAATTGATGGAAACACGTCTGATTCGCATTTCTTCTTATTTTCCTTTTTGTGAAAATTTTTAAATTTGCTCAAAATTCGAATTAAAGTTGGATGGAAACACGACTAATGAGAGCCGGAGATCACCGTACGATGATGCCAACAAGACCACATCATCTGCAACTAGCAGAGCTGAAATTTCAAGACTCTAAATGAATTTTATGAGAGCTTCTACATAGCCTGTGCCTGACGAGATCTTAAAAATCCATTTTTAACAATATACGCATTTGAACTGAGAAAGAAATTGTTGATCAATTTCTCAGGGAGTAAAATGATGGAGTTTTGAATCAAAGCCAGTTTGTTTTTGAAAGCACAAAGTTTTCTTATTTTCTTCCCGCCTCTTTCATCAGGGCCCGGTCTGGCCTTCATCGYCTACCCAAGGGCTGTAGCCATGATGCCTCTTCCTCAGCTCTGGGCGGTCTGCTTCTTCCTCATGATCATCATGCTGGGACTGGACACGCAGGTAGATACTGACTGAATTCTGATGGCAGTGACGTGTGTAACATTATATGTGAAGCTGTAAACACACACACACACACACACACTTCTGTCTTCTTTGACCCAGTTTGTGAGCCTGGAGGCCCTGATGACATCAGTGACTGACCTGTACCCTCATCTGATTCGACGAGGCCACCGCAGAGAGCTGCTGCTGCTGTTTGTGTGCATCGTTTGTTTCCTGATCGGACTAGTCATGGTCACACCGGTGAGTCGTGTGTCAGACGTCTTATGAAAATCTACAGCTTTCACTCRAATTTTGGCAACTGACATTTCCACAATGTTTCTTAGTTTACTTATTAACAGTAATAAATGTAAATGTACTGTAAAATTGACAGTATTTAACTGAGAAGTACATTTGTTAAAGAGTTTTATTAAAGTGTAGTTTTCTTATCTTCACTTTCAATTAAAAAAAGTGATCTAAGACTAAATCCACGTTGCAGGTATTAATGCTCATTTGTGACTACTTTTTGTTTTTTGCTCAGATCCAATCTTTTGTGTCATTGTGGACCTTCAAATTGGATTTTTCACATTCAGACTGCCATAAAATCATCTAATAAGTCATATATGGACAGAAAAAAATCGGATTTGGGTCAATTTGACCTGCCCCTCATTAGCTTAAGTTGTCTTCGTTAGTTTTTGGTGTCATTTCCATTAAAAGTGGGGAATTTTCTTCTTTTTATCATAAAAAATATTTGCCTAATACTCGCCAATAGGGCTGCCACGATTAATCGACGAC